ACAGTACAGGAATATGAAAACTGATCACCTGGTCATCCTTCTTTCCCTCATAAAAGCTTTATCTCCTTTCACTGCACACTCGCTTCTTTCTTATTGTAGGAAACAAGGCTGCCAGCCTTGGGACAGGGACTGGCTTTTATTGTCTAGATTCCAGGAAAAATTTTCAGAAGACATGTTAACCCAGCAAAAAGGAGCTCACCCTCTATCACCTGTGTTTTGTGAAAATATGGCAGTAGTCTTGTGGCAAATGATAGTGGGTAAAGGAAGTTTCTAGAAGAACGGGGCTGCAAACGAGCAGGCAGTCTTAAAAATGCTCTTATATATCAAAACTCAAAACTCATTCATGGTAGGAGATGACCAAATAGATGATATAGTGAGCAAAGTCTCTTACCTGGAACCACTTTTTCTCAGAGAGCAGAGATTTATGTGCTTAACATAGTCTCTCTTTTCTTCTTCTTTTTTTATTTTTGCTCTTGTGGTACTGGGATTTGAGCTCAGGACCTACACCTTGAACCACTCCACCAGCCCTTTTTCGTAATGGGTTTCTCGAGATGGGGGTCTTCTGAACTATTTGCCCAGGCTGGCTTTGAACCGTGATCCTCCTGATCTCTGCCTCCTGAGTAGCTAAGATTATAGGCGTGAGCCACTGGCGCCCAGCTTAACCTATTTTTAGTTCATGAGCTCTCCGTTGGGTCAGACTAAGAGTTGTAGAGGTATAATAGGTACAATTCCAGCAGTACTCTTCTTAAATTTACTTCCTACTATGTCTTTGCCTTTACTTGTGACCTCTCTCTCTCTCACTCTTGCTCTTCCTTTTCTTTCTTCTTTTGCAGTATTGGGGTTTAAACTCAGGACTTCACATTTGCTAGGCAGGAGCTCTACCACTTGAGCTATGTTCCCAGCCCTTTTTTCTTTATTATTTGGATAGGGTCTTGTACTTTTTACCTAGGTTGGCCTTGGGCCTTGATCCTCCTAGCTATGCCTCTCATGTACCTGGGATTATAGGCACATACTATGCTCACTTTATTTGTTGAGATGGCTTTTTGCCCCAACTAGCCTAGAACTAATACATCTCCAGTCTTGCCCCCTGAATACCTGAGATTACAAGTGTAAGCTACCATGCCTGGCCCTTTACTTGTGACTTTTAAAAAGCAACTTTATTGGGATGTATTATATATACCATAAAATTCAGCCTGGATGTTCATATAAATGGAACCCTACAATACGTGGTCTTTTGTGTCTGGCCCTTTCTTTTAGCATGTTTTCAAGGATAATCCATTTTGTAGTCTATATCAGTACTTAATTCTATTTTATTATTTTTTCTCCTTTTAAGACAGGGTCTTCTCCATGTAGCTCAGGCTAGCCTTGAATTTACAATCTCCCAGAGTGCCTCAGCATCCCTAGTACTGAGATTACAGATGTATGTTACCACACTTGGCTTCACTCCTTTTTTTTTTTTTTTTACTGAATAATATTCTATTGAGTTTTTCATTTAAGTATTAGCACTTTTTACTAGGCAAATGGTCTTTTTTTTTTTTTTTTTTTGGCAGTACTGGGGTTTGAACTCAGGGCTTCATGCTTGCTAGGCAGGTGATCTACCAGTTGAGCCACTCCATCAGCCCTAATATCCTGTTGTATTAAGTATATGTCATTTTAATTATCAGTTGGTAGACATTCATCTTGTTTCTACTTTTTGGCTTGATGAATAATGCATTATGAACATTTATATCCAAGTGTTTCTGTGCATTTATTGAGCAGGATTGTTGGGTTATATGGTAATTCTGTTTAATCATTTGAGAAATTGCCACACTTTTCAAAGTGGTTCCATATGCTCACCAACACTTGTTATTGTGACTGAACAGTAATGAAATGTCATGAGCTACATAAGCTCATCTTCACAGAGATGAAAATGATTATTTATTTATTCTTTGGATAGAGTCTTGTGTTTTTGACCAGAGCTGACCTCAGACCTCAGTCCTCCTACCTATTCCTTCCACTTAGCTGATATTAGAAGTATGAACCACAACATTTAGCTTATTGGTTGAGATGGGGTCTTGCTAATTTTTTGGCTGGGCTTGCTTGAACCAAGATCCTCCCAATCTCTGCCTCCCATGAAACTGCCAGCCATAATTTTTTTAAAATTACTACATTACTAAAAGCTAGGGATAAGATAATTATAGAGTTGAAAAGTAAACACCAAGGGAAAGTATATGCCTATTGAAAAATATGAAATAGTGCTTTGGAGTAAATAAATACATTTTTGTAGTAAGAGAATAACAAGAACCAGCACAGAGAGAGGAAAAGTACAAAGAGGTAGTAAATAGGGGAGGTTTAGGACCATAAAAATAGAGGTAGAAATTTTTAGAAAGGAGATAATGTTTACAGAAGATAAATCTAAGACAAAATTGTAAGATTTGTTGACCAGTAAAAGTTGACCTATATGGAACAAGTTCTTATTTAAGATGACCAGAATTGTGAGGTGTAAGGAATAGTGGGAAAATGGAGAGACCATGTAAATCACACTATTGAACCATGTGACAGTACAATGAGAGAGGGAGCACTCCACTGAGTGAGGATATCTGGATAGGTAAAAAACATTCTTCAAGGCTTGAGAATATGTGTGAATAAGCTCTGAGAAAAGAAGGTACAACACTACAGAGTAAATGATAAGTTGATGGGAAGTGGCCATCAATTTGTTGATGATTTTTAAGAGAAGCAAAATGTATGCACCACAGGTACAGCTGCAGGTTAACTTTGTTTAGCTTTCACCTTGCTCCATGACTATCAGAGTGCTTCCATGTAAGAGGATATTTATTATAATTGGATCTCTTTGTTTTTGGAATAAAGTTTGATTTTAGCAATGTCGGGTGTTGGGGGTGTTAAGGAGTTGGAATCCCTAGAAAGCTGGGAGTGGATCTAAGCTTTCCAGGATATTCGATACTATGTCTCTAGCAAAGCAAGACTGAAAACACACAGGAAGAGGAGAGGATATGGAGTAGAGGAGAGCCCTTCTGATGTAGGTACATGAGTAGTTAGGAAAGATAGAGAGGGATATTTGGTGTTGAGAAGAACATCTTTGCTCTCATTTTCTAATATTAAAGAGCTGGAACTAGAACTTGAAGGATGAGAAAGTTTTGGAAATCTGTTTTGAGAAACAACAAATATCCTCCAATCATGACAGTAATTTGAATTCAAAGTGTACTCATGATTTCAAGGCAAGAAGTAAAGACGTCATCAAGGTCTGGGAGCATGACTCAAGTGGTAGAGCACTTGCCTAGCAAGTTCAAGGCCTGAAGTCAACCCCAGTGCTGTGAAAGAAACAATGTTGAAACAAGAGCAAACCCTATCTCCAAAATATCCAGAGCAAAAAGGTCTAGAGGTGTGCTCTAGACCTAGTACTTAGTAAAGTAAGCTCAAGGACTTGAGTTTAAATGTCAGTACTGCCAAAAATTAAAAGAAAGAAAAAAGCCAGAATAGAGGCAATAGAGTTTAGAGTATGAGAAATTTCCAGAGGCTAGAAAACACCACAAGATTTACAGTGAGAACAAAAAGGTTATAGTCAGGAGAATTTTAAGTTTTAAAATATTGAACGTTTTGAAAAACCATAAGGCCCAACCTGTATAATGAGATATTATGCCAATATTTGATTTTTTTAAACAGTAACTTTATTTTAGAATATAATTGCTAAGAGAAACAAACAATTATAGATGGAAACTTAAATACCCCATCTTCAATAATAGTGGCTGGAACAACCAAAAGATAAGGAAATAGAGGACTTCCACATAACAAACCCAACTCGATCTTGCAGACATACACAGAACACTCAACAATGCATGCACATTCTTCTCCAGTCCAAATGGGATATTCTTCAGGAGAAGAGAACTGGAGGAGGTAAAGGGGTGGGGATATTGCAAATCCCAGAGTCCAAAAGAGCCTAGAGTTCTCCTCCAAGGGTAGAAAAAGGATTTCCCAGCTCCAGGAAGAGAGAGTACGTTCACCTTTTCTCTGCCTTTTTGTTGTACTTGGAAAGGAGGCAGCTGATGAGACTGTCTGTCCACATTGAGGGCATATTTTCCCTGCTATGTCCACTCACTCTCACCAGCCTTACTCTCACCAGGTGTTACTCCAGAAACACCTTCACAGATGCCCAGAAATAATGCTTTACCAACTGTCAAGTCATTCTTTAATCCAGTCAAATTGACACCAAAGATTAATGCTTGCAATATCGGACAGTGTATTTTCTCTGACCACAGCAAGATAACTGGAAAATTCACATTTGTAGAATTTAAATAAACACACTCTTTGTTTTGTTTTTGGTTTGGTTTGATTTTTTTTTTTTTTTTTTCCCTGACAGTGCTCAGGGTTTTGGGCTTGCTAAGCAAGCCCTCTAGAACTTGAACCACACCTCCAACCCTAATAGCACACTCTTAAACATCCAGTGGATCAAAAAAAGAAAAAAATCACAAGAGAAGTTAGAAAATAGAAATAGAAACAAACAAATACAAAAATACAACATAACAAAATTTATGAGCTACAGCAAAAGCGGGGCTGAAGAAGAATTTATGGCTAAAAGTGCTTACATTAAAAGACAAATACCTCAAATTAACCTAATTTTGTAATTTAAGAAAGCAAAAAAGAACAGACTAAATCCGGACTAGCAGAAGGAATAAAGAATATAATTGCTAAGAGTTTTAATAAATTGAACTTTAAAATATTTTTTATCTTATCTTAAATTGCATTTAATCCACAAATAAATTGGATGTTACTGATTCTCTTAAGTTGCTCATTCAGTCAACCACAGTCTTTAAAAAATAGATCCTTTGTGGCTGTTCAGCATAATGATTGGGTTTTTGTGTTGTTGCTGAGCTGTGCCTCACTCAGATTTCATTACAACATAGGCACATTACCCATCTGACATTAAATAAGTAAGTGTTCAATTGTTCAAAATGTTTAGTTGTGAAATAACAAACGATTTTCATTTTCAAATTATTTTATTTCAGGTTACAGTGTAGGATTTTGGAAGTCCTTCCCCCATCACATCAAAATGGTTTTGCTAATGGACATGTTAGTAGCATAGATGGGGAAACTATGATCATCAGTGATAGTGATGATTCAGAAGCACAAAGCAATTGTTTTCAAAATGGGTGAGTGATTTTTGTAAATTTATTTATTGGATTAGTAATGCTATTCCTTGGAATGTTTTTTTTCTTCCTCTCTCCCTTCTTTACTTTTTAGTCCTACTGTGTTATACTAGCCATCTAAATAACGTGGTTCAACAACAGATGTTAGAATTGTCAAAATTAGAATTTTCCTAGTTAATTCTAATTGGCTGCTTAAGACGGTTTTAACTAAGTCTCATTCAGTTACATTTATACATTCCACTTTTGTTTACTTGGAAAAACTCACTCTGTCTTTTAATAATTATTCACTGTGTGATGCATATGGTAAAGAAGCAAAGCAACTACCTAAAACTCAATCAACTGATGGCCTCATCAGCAGAGTGCTGTTGGAGAAAAATCGCACAATATATAGATAAGCTGTAATTCAAACTCTCAGCTGAGTCTGCAAATGATTAAAAGTCCTACATGTTTTAGCTCAGCAACCCCTCTGTTTTCCATAAGAAAACATTCTGTTCTTTTGATAAGCACCTTAAACTCTAAAATGCTTTCTCCAGCCTGTCTTAATGTCTGTTTTGTTTCCTTATTTTTAGTGAATAGTACCATAATATTCAAAACCTAAGGCCAGTCTTAACTATTTCTCCCTGAAACACCAAGTTCTTACCCTCAGAAACTTGTAGTTAAAGTTCTCATTTTGTTTGATGGGAATGTTATAGATTGTTACTAATAGCATTTGAGAATTGACTCTTACTCCAGGCACTGTGCTAAATTCATTATATGCATTTTGATCGTCTTTAGAGAATATTATTTTTAACAAGAAAGAATCTGAGACTTAGAATGCTTAACTGTGGTATTAATAAAAGAATAAACAAATAGATCAATGAAACAGAATTGAGAATCCAGAAATAGACTTACATGAATATAGTCAACTAACCTTTGACAAAGGAGCAAAGGCAATGCAATGCAGCCAGCAAAGATAGTCTTTTTAACAAATGGTGCTAAAACACCTGTCCATCCACTTGTAAAAATAAATAAATAAATCCTGATGTAGAGCCTTTACCCTTCACAAAAGTTAACTCAAAATGGATTAGTTTAAAGTTTGAGTTTAGTTAAATGTAAAACACAAATCTCTGAGACCCCTAGAAGAAAACATAGGAGAAAACCCAGATAACTGAGGTATAGCAATGTTACAGCACAGAAGGCATGATCCATGAAATAGATAAACTGTATTTACTAAAATCAAACACTTCATATCTGCAAAAGACATTTCCAATAGAATGAGAAGACAAGACCATACAGGGAGACAATATTTGCAAAAGACGTCTGATATGACTATTGTCCAAAATGTATTAAGACTCGAGTCTTTACTCCTATTTCCTGTATGGGGAATAGAAAATGTTCCTCTGTTTGTTTCCCCCACTTCTTCCTACTTTATCCAGTTAAACTGAAATAAATTCTTGCTAAAAGTTTTTTTAAAAAATTTTTTAAAAAAGAAAAGAAAGAGAGAAGGAAGGAGAGAGAGGGAGAAATGAACTCAATTAAAATATGGGCAAAGGCCCTAACAGACTTCTCCAAAAAAGATTTGTAGATGGCAAGTAGGCATATGAAAAGATGCTCAACATCAGTTGTCATGAGGGAATTGAAAATTAAAACAGCAATGAGACACTACCACACACCTTTTGAATGGCAGTAACTTGGAACACTGACAAAGCCAAATGCTGGTGAGAATAAAGCAATAGGAACTCACTCATTGCTGATAGAAATGCAAAATGGTACAGCCGCTTGGAAGACAGTTTGGCAGTTTTTTACAAAACTAAACATACTATTATCATAAAACCCAGCAATTGTACTTGTTGGCATTTACCCAAATGCATTGAAACTTACAGCTGACCAAACCTACACATGAATATTTACAGCTTTTACTTATTATTGCCAAAACATGGAAGAAACCAAGATGTCCTTCAGTAGGTAATGGATAAAGACAATGGAATATTGTTCCATGCTAAAAAGAAACAAGATGTTGAGCCACAAAAAGACATAGTGGAAATGTCTTTTTAAGTATATTATTATTAAGTAAAAGAAACCAATCTGAAAAGAGTACATACTATATGATTCCAACTATGTGACATTCTGGATAAGGGGAAACTATGTAGACAGTGAAAGGATAAGTGGTTTTGGAGGAGAAGGCTCGAATATGTGGAATACAAAAAATTACTAGGGCACTGAAACTATTTCCTGCAATGGTAGATACATGTTTTCATAAATTTGTCCAAATACAGAGAATGTACAACACAAGAGTGAACCCTAGTGTAAAGGATGAACTTTGACTTTGGGTGATAGGCTCATTGATTGTAATGATGTTCCACTCTGCTTCAGAATGGTATTTGCTTGTTTGTTTGTTTATTTATTTGTAGAACTAGGGTTTGAAGGGTTTCCCATTTGTAGAGCAGCCACTCTACCACCTGTGCCATACCTCCAGTCTGTTTTGCTGTGATTATTTTGGAGATGGGATCTCTTAAACTATTTGCCCAAGCCGGCATTGAACCATGATCCTGTTGATCTCAGCCTCCCAAGGTGCTAGGATTGTGGATATGAGGGGACAGGGAGTATATGGGAACTCTGTACTTCTTGTCCCGTTTTAATGTAAACCTAAAACTGCTCTAAAACTAGTTTATTAACTTAAAATATATATAATCTTGCCATTTTTACTATTAAGTGTAAAATTCAATAGCATTAGTTACATTCACATTGTTGTACAACTATCACACCATCTGTTTCAAAAATGTTTTCATTACCTCACAGAGAAGTTCTGTTCCCACTCAATTTTAACTCTCCATTTATTCTTCTCTAACATCCAGTCTACCTTCTGTATCTCTGAAGTTTCCTACTCCAGATATGTCGCATAATTAGAATTATGTAATAACTGCCCTTTGTGGCTCATTCCACTCACCATGTTTTCAAGGTTCATCCATACTGCAGCATGTATTAGAAACTTCATTCCTTTTATTGCTGTATTCATTATATGTGTATGTCACATTTTGTTTATCCATTCATTTGTTGTTGGACACTGGGGTCACTTCAGCCTTTTGGCCATTGTGAATAATCAATGAATATGGGTGTTTGAGGGACCTGTTTGAGTCCCTGTTTTAAATGCTTATGGTTATATGCCTAAGTAGAATTGCTGTGTTATATGGTAATTCTACACTTAACTTTTTGAGTAACTGCCAAACTTTTTCCAAGCAGCTATGTTCGAGGGTTCCAATTTTGTTACACTTTTGACATCCCTTGGTATTTTCCAGTTTTTAATTATGTCTGTCCAAGTGAATGTAATGATTTAATTTCCCTAATGACTAATGATGATCAGTATCTTTTCATGTATTTTTTGGCCACTTGTGTATCATCTTTTGAGAAATGTTTGTTCAGATCTCTTGCCCTCTTCCCATTCCCTTCCTCTTTCTTTCCTTTTCCAAGGCTGAGGATTGAACTCGGGGCCTGTACATACTAAGCACATGCCCTGCCATTGAGTAATACCCTAGTCCCTCCTTTGCCCATTTTTAAATTGGGTTGTTTGTCTTTTTGTTAAGCAATGGGAGTTTTTTTTTTTAAAAAAACAACAAAAACTTTATTAAAAGATAAAAGGGTATTGATTCCCAGTCCCATGGGCAGACCAAGAATAAATAAGGTGTAAAGGGAAGGGGTGATCACATCAGGGCAGAGTTATAGGAGTTTTAAAAAACATATTCTGATCATCAGGGTTTTAAAAGTAAAGTACTATGATATGTTTGGGGAAGCATATTGACTATGTTTTGAAATTCTCAGTGCTTTGAGTATAAAATTGGGAGTAATAGTAAATGAAATGAACTCTTAACAAAAAGTAGCAACATTTCAATTCAGTAGTACTGAGGCAATAGAAAGGAAGTACATTGAGGTTTATTTACCTCACCTGTGTCAGAACACTTGTAAAATGCTTGCAGATTTCAATTGAACACTTCTCAGGCCAGAGTAACTATCCTTATGGGGGCTTCTTGGTGGAGTAGTAATGAATTTCTACAGTTCACTTGTCTGCATAGAGATCGTGCTGTGTCTGGTAGTAATCTCCATGGTAAATGAGAAACCCCATAAATAAGTGACCAAGAGGGCTGGTGGTATAGCTCAAGTGATAGAGCGCCTGTTTAGCAAGCAGGAAACCCTGAGTTCAAACCCCAGCACTCCCTCCCCCAATATATGGTGTTCTCTCTTGTGATAGGTTCATTTATCAGAAGAAAATTATTTACTGGTAGCTCGACTCTCCAGCTGGTTCCAGTATTTTGTTTTGAGATAGGGTCTTGCTACCTTTTGCCAGGGATGATGGCCTTGAATTTGTGATGCTTCTGCCGATGCTTCCTGAGTAGCTAGGATTACATGTGCATACCATCCCTGGCTTTAAATTTTTTTTTATTCCAAATATTCATAGGATAGCCACAAAAATAACTTCTATTTTTGTGGTATTAAATTTTCATATATGCTTATCTAGACACATTAGCATGCATTTATATAGAGTGTTTTATGAATATAGTCCCCAGATCCATGAAAGCTTGCTTTCAGGGACTTACCCCCATCCCTCTCTCAGATACCAAAATTGCAACCGCTCAAGTCCCTTATATAAAATGGCATACTGTTTGCTTATAACTTATGTACATCCTCCCATATACTATACTTTAAATCATCTCTAGATTGATTTATAATACCTGATACAGTATAAATAAGTTTTGTACAATATCATTTAGAGAATAATGGCAGGAAAGAATCTCTGCATGTTTTGTACAGATAAATTTGTTTTCCCCCAAGTATTTTCAGTCAATGGTTGGTTGAATCCATAGCTAACAGAGGGCTGACTGTAATTGAAACAGTGATCTGATTTTGTAAAGTTTAATACTTGGTTAGCTTCTCTGCCCTTGTAAGTTAATAAAATCAGTTTTCTTATTGGTAATAAAATGTTGTGACACTTTTGATTGAGATAACTAGGTTCAAATGAATGTTTCAGCTGTTTAAGCATTAGGTAGCAAGGGAGGAAAATAATTAAAATAGAGGCTCTTTTTAATATTATCCTTGAAGTTCCTATTTTGTAGGTGAATCCATATAATAAAAAGCAGTTTCTGTTGGTCTCAAGGAAGTGATTATACTTCCTTGGAAAGAATCCAGTTATGATTTTATTCTATAAGAGAATTTTTTATAAGGTTATATCAAAGTTCCAGTAAGGTTATTGTCACTGATTAGAAAAAAAAAAGGGGGGGTTTTATTCTTTTGATGTATCTTTATAAATACATTTTATGGCAGAGCAAGAAGAGCAAAAGATAATATATACCCATGTGCCCTCCACATGTTATAGCTTCAAATCTACTAAGTAAGGTACATGTACAAGTATCTACCTGATCTACCTGTCCACCAATACCTGAATAGCTGAATCTAAGTTTTTGGAAATCGGGCTGTGGGCATGGCTCAAGTGGGTAGAGAACTTGCCTAGCAAAAATGAGACCATGACTTCAAACCCTAGTACTGCCAGTACAAAGATACTTGAAAATACTTGACCCTTCAGCAAGGAATTTAATGCTATTACAACTAAACTGTCCATTTTTATTTCTCTGTCATATATCCCACTCATGTTGAATCCTTCCCCACATAATGTGTCCTGTATTTATATCACTTTGACTATATCTTACCCCCATTGCCAGTGCTTCTCTTGGTCATCTTTTTATGTTATTTTCTCGTCTGTAACCCCATTTATATCCTCTTCACAATCACAGAGATAGCATTTTCAGAATCCAGCCTCTTCTTTCTCCTGCTACCACTCCCTTTTAAGTCACACTTTTCTGGAAGGCCTACCTGGTTAATTTATTCAGGTATCATTACCCATGTAAATAGTGGCTCTCTCAACCTATACACTATTCTCTTAATAGCATTTGCCGCCTACCCTATTAATATTCTTTTCCTTGCCTGTATCTCCCTATGTTTTTGTTTTGATGACTACTAAATCTTCATTGTTTCCAGTAGTATCTGACACATTGAAGGTTTTATTGAGCGTATGAATGAACATACCCTCAAGGGGAAAAAAAAGTTGTTGGTGGAGATTAAATGCGTTGGCTCTTTGTCACTTTTTAAAATAGAGTAAATTACATTATCTACTTTTACTCTTGGGTTAGATAGCTAGGGAAATAAAGCAAGTGAAGGACATAAGATCCTATTACAGCGTGTTCAAAGAACTAGGTTTGCAAGAATCTCATGTTTCCAAATTATTAACTGATTTGTGTCTTTTCTTTTTTTAGGAAGAAAAAAGATGCAACTGATCCCTTATTATTCAAATATAAGGTGCAACCCACTAAAAAGGAAGTATATGACTCTGCTATTGTCAAGGCAACACAAGTCAGGTAAAAACTGAATTGTTTCTATAGTAGTAGTCTGAAGTAGAGTAAGTATGTATGTTTGACTAATAAGTTTTGATTTAGTCCAGTGTGGTTTTGATTTAGAATGTATGGGTACTGTTGCAAGTGATTGATTTTATTTTTAAAATAAATGTATATTTATATGCTCATAGACTGATAAAATGAATCCTAGTGGACTCTCTGAGCTCTTTCAGATCAGTTACTAACTGCAAATAGTCTTTAAGCCAAAGAATTTAAGGAGGATTCTATTTATGAAGTACTTTTCAAGAGAACTCAAGTTTTCAATGCTGAGAAATTTGATGGCACATGTCACATTTCTAGTATTTTATTCATTAGACATAAATATCTAATCTCTTATTCTTTAAGAAAGGTAAATAGTAAAAAATGACAACCTTTAAAAATTCCTATTTATGAGGCTTAGAGGAGGTGTAGGTAGTGAGTAGTTAACAAAATAACTGGCTCTAGGTAACATAGTTTGGAAAATCTCTGTTGTTGCCTTTTGTGGTTAGGCTTTTCATCATCTGAAAGTTTACATTATCAACTAGATATCACCTTGCCTAGGTAGAAGTCAATTGCATATCATTTGTTGTAAAATAATTTTTTATCTGTTCTCTTACCACTTTTGCCTGGTATGTATTCATGTAACCTAAGAAAAGTGACAGTGCTAAGGAAATCCTGAGTGAGATATATCACTTTCTAGAGTAATAGTGAAGTGTATGGGTTGTTGATTATTTGGTTCACTTGGGGACAGGGGCTATCTATCATTAGTTTAAGATCTCTGGAGCATTCTAGAGATACAAATTTTACTGTGTATCGAAAAACAGTCTCTATAATATTCATGGATTATTGAAACTTTAATTTGTTTGGTGTATGGGCCAATGAATAGCATAGTTGAGACTGCTAGTGTTTTATTAGTGGGCTCTAGTGGCTCATGTCTGTACTCAGGAGCCAAAAATCAGGAGAATTGTGGTTCAAGGCCAACCTGGGCAAATAGTTCTCTAGACCCTATCTCAAAAATACCTACCACAAAACAGGACTGGTGGAAAGGTTCAAGTGTTAGAGCACCTCCCTAGCAAGTGTGAAGCCCTGGGTTCAAACTACAATACCATCAAAAAAAGAAAAAATATTTTCCATACTTACGGTTGAGTTTCTCTTTTTTATGTCTTTAGTTCAAGACATGTTATTTATATAGTGTGATTTCCTATTTAATATTTTTCACATTTCCATTTACTTTTTGGCTTATCATTTATAATTCTGTTAAACCTTGGTTACACTCTTACTAGCTCATTTTCTTTTTTTGGGTGGGGGATATTTGGAGACCAGGTCTCTCTATTTAGCCCAGGCTGGCCTCAAACTCTCAATTAGCTGCCTCAGCCTCCCTAATGTCAGGATTTCAAGTATGTGTCATCATACCTGGCACTCATTTCCTTCTTAATTAATAAGCCAAGTAATTATAAAGTGAGAAAGTTGTGCTTGACAATGGAAGACTTAATTAACATATAGTTCTTTGTTAGCAGCAAAAGGTAGTGATAATCTTTTAATAAAGATAGTCCTGTAATAAAGAAGATTTGGAGCTGGGCTCTGATAGCTCACACCTATAATCCTAGCTACTTGGGAGGCTGAGATCAGGAAGCTTGAGGTTTGAGGACAGCCCTGGCAAATAATTCATGAGACCCTATCTCCAAAATAACCAGAGCAAAATGGACTGGAGGTGTGGTTCAAGAGGTAGAGCAGCTGCTTTGCAAGCAGCTGAGTTCAAACCCCAGTCGTCCCCCTCACCCCCAAAAAAGGTGATATGCTAGAGTAGCATTGACAAGTAGAACTTTCTGTGATAATGTAATAATTATATGTGCACTTGTCCAAAACATGATAGCCAATACATGCTTGTGGCTATTCAGCACTTAGAATGTAGTTAATAAGAATGAGGAACTGAATTTTTCATTTTATTTATTAAAAAAGAAAAAGCACCTGTGGTTAGTAGCTACCATATAAGACATTGCAGACCTCAAAGATTAGTTATTCAGTAGGCAACAAGTAATTACCTTCTTTTTGCCAGGTACTATAACAGTCCTGGGCTACAGCAGTGAGCCAAGGAAACTGTAAAGTCTAGGCAAAAAAATTAAGATTTTTGAGGAGGGCTGCTTTTAAGATCCTTGTTCACTCATGGAAACCTTCAACTTGACTCTTTCTTGAAAGAAATAAATTGAATTTAATTAATACATTACATTTTACTTACAGCTTTTTTATTGTTTTGGTTTTGTTTGCTGTGGTGTCCATTGCTATTGTTATTTTTTAATTTGAGGGCAAGGGAAAATAAAAAACAGTATATTGAGAGAATTTTAATTCTCTTTAATTTTTAATTCACTAATTTGTTGGCTACCATGTGAAAACTAAATACAAAAGGATCTGTGCTCAATTTTGCCTATAGTCCCCATGTGGCATTGAATTTGGTTAGTGCTATGTGGTATCTAGCAAGTCTACCAATTTTAGTTTTTTAGATCATTTTAATGGTGATACTTGATCTAATTTTATGAAATTTGGCTTATTCTCTATATATTTCCTTAGGGTTTATTTGATTTCCAGATTGCTTCTAAGACACAAGTGCATATACTCTTTTAATAGACTTTTTCTACTAAATCCACTCAAGCAGACTTTACAACTTCTGGCATAAATCCTTCTATATAAAATTTCTAATAACTTCTACATAAATACTGTTGGAGGATGGAATATCTTCCAGTGTATACATCATTTCCTAGGCTTAAAATCCAGGTTTTTAATTTATGGAAATAATGTAGTTTGGGTTGAATTCTTTGATATTAACACTACCCTCTTCTCTCCTCCCCAAACCCACCCCCAGCAGGAGAAAACACCTATTTTCTCGTGATAAACTAAAGCTTTTTCTGAAGCAACACTGTGAACCACAGGATGGAGTGATTAAAATTAAGGTAATCAGAATAGTGAAGTTATTTGTTAGAAGGAAATAAAAGAAATGGCTAGTGTTACAAAGTTGTAACATTGCTAAAAATGCTAATTTAAAGGTGGTTTAAAATAACTCATTTTATCTGGAGTACTTTTATTACTTTTAAAAATATTTATTGGATTAAATACTATTTTTAGAATTGGTAGTGATTCAGTTACCACCCCTTTTAAAATTTTTTTGTGGTACTGGGGTTTGAACTGGGGCCTTGTGCTTGCCAGGCAGGCACTCTACTACTTGAACCATAACCCCAGCCTCTTTTGCTTTAGTTCTTTTTCGAATAGGGTCTGACATTTATGCCCAGGCTGGCCTGGACTGGGACCCTCCTATTTACTCAACTGCCCAAGTAGCTGGGATGACAGGTGCATACCACCACACCCAGCTTTTTATTGGTTAAGATTGGATCTTTCCCAGGCTGGCCTCAAACCTGTATCCTTCTGATCTCTACCTCCCAGATAGCCAGGATTATAGGCGTGAGCTACTGAGCTCCTCTTACCTTTTTTCTTATGTAAAAGATCAACTAAGACAGGTAAAAATAGGTCAAAAACTTGAAAAGAAGGAAAGTTATGTAGTGGAATCACTATAGCTTTTTAATAGTGTGGTTCTAATAAAGAATAGATGGTTTCAAAGAATAATGCTAAGACAGATGCTACCAGGTCAGGTACAAGAACAATATATGTAATAAAAAGAGCATCTTGAGCCACTACTAAGCAGATAGTTTATATTTTACTTATACCCATTAAGAGGAAAAAATCAAGTTTTTAGAGACCTCACATTGTACAGTAAGTAAAAATTAAAATTGATTTTAAAAAAATGCAACCTGTTTAACTCACATTCGAGTAAAGAAGTATTAAGTAAGAAAAGTCATAGAGAGCCAGGCATGGTGGTATATGCCTTTAATCCTAGCACTCAAGAGACAGAGGTAGGATTGCAATATCATGGCCAGTCTGGACTACACAGGAAGAACCTGTCTCAAAAAGCCAAAACAAACAAAAAACTGTAGAAAAAGTTAGAAAGGTGTTCACATTTGCCACAGACCAGCGCTTAAGATTTGCTCATTTCATTGTATGTGAATGTAGACATGAAAAGGAAAAAAACCTCTAGATAGAGGCAAGATAAATTGTTTAGTAAGATAAAAGTGGGTTGCTTGGTGTGGTGGCTAACACCTGTAATCCCAGCAATCAGAGGCCGAGGCAGGAGAATCAGATAAAAAGCCAACCTGGGCTACAAAGTGAGACTCTTTCTAAAAACACATTTACAAAAAAACAAAACAAAAAGTCTGGGCTGGACATGGATGATAGGAAAAAAGTTCTAGATACAAGATAAAAGGAGAGAGACTGTTTATTTGGCAATTACTCTAGAACCATACCACTTCAGGTTGAGTTCTGAAGTTAAATTCTGATGAAAGTTTACAGGAATTTGTAAGTATTTCTGCTTTTATCCAGACCAACTTTAAATTTTGATGCATAACTTACTAAGTTATTACCCAACTCTGAAAGGAAAATCCAAATGTTCAACAATTAGAATGGTTACAAAATTGCAGTATTGAAACGTACTCTGTACTCCATAAATATGTATAATTATTGCATGTCAAAATAATTCATTGAGTTTAATACAAGGTTTTTAAATTATGTTAAATATATGAATTGATTATTTACATAGACAATCAGACATAATTAGTAAAAAAAATATATGTATATATTGAAATAGTTTTAGAATTCAGGTATCTAAAACATTTTTGAGATGTTTTATGGTAAACTTTGAATGGTAGTTTTCTTCTGGTAAATTATCTAATTTAGAAACAGATCAGATAATCCCAGGAATACAGGGGTCCTCTAGAAGCTGGAAGACAAGGAAATGGATTCTCCCCTGCAGCTTCCAGAAGGAATACATCCTTGCCAACCCTTTACCTTTAAACTTCTCACCTCCAGAACTTTAAGAGAACAAATTTATATTGTTTAATGTCATTAAATCCATGTTACCGTTAGGATACTAATGTGGTGGCCTTCTCCAAAATTCCTCAGTTTATACTGGTGATACCAGAACATAAATCTTCTGACTCTTAAATCCAGTTTTTTTTTCTGTCAAAAACTTCAGTGTATTACTTCTTTTCTATACTGCTTTCTCAAAGTCAGAAAAATCCTTGTTTAGTACCTTATTATCTGAGCACAGTTTAAGACCCTTGTGTAGCAGTTAAAACCATAGTCTGTGCAGCCAGATGGACTGGTTTGAATCATGGCTCTGATTGATACCTATTAACTGTATAATACTACCTAATATATTTGTGCCTCCATTTCATCATCTGTAAAGTGGGACTAACATCTACCTGTGGGTTTATTGTGAGGATTTAATTTGTTATTAATTGCAAAAAACATGCCATGTAGAATAAGCAATATGTGTTTGCTAGAATAAACTTTGAAAAATTAAAGAAAGAAAAGGATCAACTAAACCAGCTAAAAATGTATTTCACTATACAACAGCACATGAAATTCTAATTTTTTTCTGACTCCCAATTCTAATGTTTTTGACCTGAGCGTTAATAGCTCATATGACATATTAGAGCATATCTGTATAATGGCTTACTTATGTGTTCTTATTGTACCCTATGTTTTTCTATTATTGTCAAGGCATCATCTCTTTCAACATATAAAATAGCAGAACAAGATTTTTCCTATTTCTTCCCTGATGATCCACCTACATTTATCTTCAGTCCTGGTAACAGAAGAAGAGGGAGACCTCCCAAACGAATATCTGTTAGTCAGGTAAGTGGAAAGTATTTAAACCACCTTTTAGCTGTTAATAAAGCAGTGTTCAAAATCAAGACAATGTCACTCCCATAGCCTGTAGGAAGAAACCTATTGATTCACACAAGAAAATGTGAGTATACACTATACTCCATGTTGATAACTGCTCAGCAGTAAGGTTCATAGAACTTTCAAGTGTGAATTACACCCGGATGTCATGCCACAGGGACTCTATACCAGGGTGGAAGCAAGCATATAAGCAGTTACTGAAATGTAAAGTCGGATGAAATATAAGGTCTAAACTATGGGCAGGGAATAAACTATCCATTTAGAGTGTGAAGTGTGATAGATTCTGACAGAAGGAAATTATAGAGGGCTTTAAGAGAGCAATAAATGGTTGAATTAGACAGAAGATAAGCTTTCTAATGATGAGGCAAAGAGCTTGCAAGGTATTTGGGGTGTGAACAAGGGTTACAGTGGATGGAGGGGATTGATTGTGAGGGCAGGGGAGCACATGTAATATGGCTGATCTGTTAGTGTGCAGAGTGTGTGATAGGAAATGAGGCAGAAAATCACAAGACAGTCAAATGGTTCTAAAATGTTCTTTTATAATAATAGCAAATTATCTTATGTATATACTGAAAATAGACTTTAACCAAAAAGTAGTAGCCTAAATCCAAGCAAATAACAATGTCTGTTGATTTTGTGTATGTAATGAGAGACTTTAGACTGCAAACTAAATCTTTATTTTTTATATTATTTTATTTTTATTATATTATTGTTGTACTGGGGAGTACATTGTGACATTTATAAAAGTTCTTAAATCATATTTAAATTCACCCCTTCCATCATTCTCCTTTACCCTTCCTTCCACCCATTTTTTGGGTAGTTTCAACAGGTCTCATTTTTCCATTTTCATACATAATACATAATATTTCCACCATATTCACCTTCCTACACCATTTCCTTATATTCTCCCCCCTCCCACTAATACCAACCCCTCGACAGGACCTGATTTACCTTCCTGTCCTTCATTTAAAAAAAAAAAAAGACATTTTTGTTTGTTTAAGATAGCTATGCAGGGAGTTTCCTGTGACATTTCCAAGTATATATGTATTGTAAACCAAATTGGTTCGTCCCCTCCATTTTTCTCCTCTCTACCTTAGTACCCTTCTTGTTGTGATTTCAACAGGTTTTAAAATTCTATATTCATTCTTGTATAGGAAGTACATCAACCGTATTCACCTTCTTTACTTCCTTCTTTTACCCTCACCCTCCCTTTAGTGTCCTCCCCTTAACATGACCTGGCAAACTGAATCTTCCCTAAAGAGTGTTACAACTGAAAGGGAAGGGCGGTATAAGTTGAGTTATGAGTTATTTCTGTGCTCACTTCCCAATTTATCTTTCTCATCTTTAGCAGTAAGGAATTTTCCTTCTTTGGGGCTTTGCCATTTTAAATCCCAATTCACAAATCAAGGACACTGTGGAAGTTTCTGGAATTGGACAAACTGATAACCTGATCCAGCTGCCCAAATTGGAGAAATTTATTTTGGATTATTCTGATCACTTGATTCTTTTTCCTTCTGTATTTTTATTTTTTCTTGCTCTCATTATATACATTTATTTTTGCTCTGCTCTGCTGGTTAAGAATTGCTAATGACTGGTGGAGTGGCTCAAGTGGTAGAGCACCTGCCTAGCAAACATAAGACCCTGAGTTCAAGGCCCAGTACATCGCCCCACACACATGCCCCCCAAACAAATACAAAAGAATTGCTGATGGCTGTAAAGATTTACAGGCCAGCTTCCACTACTTCTAAGAATAGTTTGTAGCACATTCAGCATAATTTAGAATTTACTGAAGAGTCATAAGTCATTTCTAGGCTTTCATTAAGTGTTGGCCAAGAGTTACTTGTGCTATAAGAGGAGCAAGCAGAACAAGATCAGAACCTGGTGCATGGTAGGCAAGCACTCTGCCACTTGGACCATGCCCCTGGCCCTTATGTTGAGCTTTAGTTGTCATAAGCCTTCTCCTATTGTACTCATTTAAGACCTCACTCCTTCCACACTATCCATGAGGAATGGGACGAAGCCTTCTTTTTTACCACCATGATTTAGTACTATGCCTAGCACATGCTTAGGTATTCAGATACGCAAGTGAATTATGAGATAATGTTATACACATTTGAGCAGGTTAGAGACACTCTAAGAAATAAAGTAAAAATAAAATTTTGACATTTACCTTGGCCACAAGAATGTTTCTGCCATATCTTTTCTCTTCCTCTTTCATTTTTCTTGTTTACACCATGTATTTTGTAAAGTAGCTTGGAGAATTTTTTTGCTTTTCTAATGTATCTTTTTTTAAGGATCTCTCTGTGTATTATCAGTTATCTTTCCTGGGATATTCTACTAATTTGTACAATTTTAGCATTATCTCAGGTCCTGTATATTTTTATGATTAGAATTATTAAAAGTTCATTTATACTTTTGAATTAAACCTCATTTTATTTTATTTATTTTTGCAGTTCTGGGAATTGATCACAGGGCGTGGTTCATGGTAGGCAAGCACTTTATCACGTGGACCATGTCCCCTGCTCTTTTGTTTGTGTTTTGTTTTTGAGATAGAACCTCAATAACGTTTGCTCAAGTTGGCCTCTAACAGAGGCTTTGCCCTCTTGAGAAGCTGGGATTACAGGTGTGTATTACCATGCCTGGCTCTAAAACCTCATTTTAGTATTGAAGGTTGTGATTGGTGTGAACTTTTTTTTTTTCCCCAGTGCTAAGAATCAAATCCAGGGCCTTGCATATTGCTAGGCACGCACTCTGCCACAGAGCTACATCCCCAGTCCTAATGTGGGCTTTTAATTTTTTATTACTATAAGAACCAACCAAACCATCAATTTGTATAGTTTGTGGTTTACATCTTTAGTTTCTTGGTTTGTTTTTAGGAAGACAGCACTGCTGATAAACAAACTATTGTAGGATGTAGGAACAAAGCAACTAAAGAAAGAGAGAGACTTTTGAAACAGGAAGAAATGAAGGCACTAGGTGAGTTTAACATTCTCCCCAAAACTGTTTAGAATAAGACTATTTCTCTGTGCCTAGGTAGGTTTTTTTTTCCTAAAATGATATAGGAGTCTGGTTTATTTTTTAAAGTGTAAGTGTTTTATTCCTTCATACAACTGCTGATATTTTTTTCTTTAATGAGACATGTTCATCTCTTAAAACAATATTTCAAGTATAGTATCTCTCCTATTAAACTGTTTAATGCTAGATTAAGCAGAAGGTAGGAGTTTCCAGACTGTTATGGGCCACTGTATTTGATTCACACAGCCTTTTTAAAACACTGCTTCCCAAACTCCAATGTGCATATGAATCTGTTCAAATGAGGATTCTGAATTGGTGGGTTTGTATGGGGGCTAAGATTCTGCATTTTAACAAGATTACCCTGCTGCTGGTCTTCAGACCCCAGTGTGAGTATCTGGGCTTTCACAACAGAGTGTGTTTATCCTGGTGCTGTGGCTTGTCTTAAACCCAGCCAGTTTGTTTTTCCCTTTTTAACCAATTGCCTTCGACTTCTGTTCAGGAATTTTGGGAGTCTCTACTAATCTCAACCTTAAGTTATTTCAGGACCACTTTGTTACATCAAAAAATGCCAACAGTATTTTTTTATGTATACAGTTTAAAGTTTAACCTTCTCCACAGCTTTTGAAAAGGCTAAATTGAAAAAAGAAAAAGCAGATGCCCTAGAAGCAAAGAAAAAAGAAAAGGAAGACAAAGAGAAAAAGAGGGAAGAATTGAAGAAAATCATTGAAGAAGAGAGACTAAAGAAAAAAGAAGAAAAAGAGAGACTTAAAATAGAAAGAGAAAAGGTAAATGTATGCTCTCTACATGTACAAATACCAGAACCAAGAAGTAAGGGTTTCAAAAGATCATGTGAACAAGAGAAATAACCTAGATTACAAAAAAGAGAAGGCTATTGCTGTATTCTCCCTGTGTGTATCTAGGTTGTTATCAGGTTCAAATGAACCTTGAAAATAACAACTGTATTAAAAATATAAGGGAGGTTTTATTGTAGGTACTCTGATAGTTTACTTTGTGAAGATGTAATTGAATTGAAGTAGGAAGTGGAGCTACTATGAGTTACTGTGTTCCAGGCATTTTCCATCTTTGTAGCATTATTTTGTTAGGCATTTTTCTTGATCAGTGGTTCTAAAACTTTAGTGTGCATTAAAACCACCAATTTCTTATCTTAATCCAGAGCTTCTGGTCCAGTAGGCCTGGGAGGGGCCCAAGCATTTGCATTTCTAACAAGTGGTCAGGTGATGGTGATGATTCCTAATTTCTTCTGAGAATTTTTATTAACCTTTTTTGTTAGGAAAGAGAGAAATTACGTGAAGAAAAGAGAAAATATATGGAATACTTAAAACAGTGGAGTAAACCCAGAGAAGATATGGAATGTGATGACCTTAAGGTATGAGCATGCTATATAATGTTCTGCACACATGTGTCTTTAATATGTCCTGTGTGGCTTTGCTCATGAAACGTTTCTTTTCTGTTTGTTGTTTATTTCTGAGGCAGGATCTCCTTGTGTAGCCCTGGCTGTCTTCAAATTCCTATCCTCCGGCCTCGGCTGTGGATTACTAGCATGGGCCACCACACCCAGCTGAAATGTTTCTGTTCTTTAATAGCAGCCTGTTTTCTTCATCCTTAAGAGAGGAAATAACCAATTAAGCAAATATTCATTCATAGAATTCCAAGGTTTTATTGTTAGTGTTTTATAACAAGCTTTAGCAATGATTATTATTCTGCAGAAATAATTGGTCGGTTTTTGTGATCCTTGACAATCCAGCACTTAGGTTTATTGGGAGGGAATAGGGGAGCAATCACAAGAATTCTGTGTATATTTTTAGCAGAATCTAAAACAAACTCATTCACCTCAGCTTGCAAGGAACCATTTCTAAATCAGTAGATGGTGGATTATGTTCTATGTCATAAGGAGATTGGCTTTTAAAATAATTGTGCAGTTAATTTGGCTTAACTTGATTTAAGAAGCTGAGCGCATTGGCCCACACCTGTAATTCCATCCCCCTCCCTGCACTTGGAAAAGTAAGGCAGTGCAATCTCAGTTACATAGTGAGTTCCAGGCTAGCCTGGGCTAGCGAGGCTCTGTCTAAAAAAAAAAAGAAAAGACCCTTTTAACTAGAAATACACTTCAGCCTAAAGTTATTTTCTTAGTTTCAGGAAGGAAAATATGTCTCACAGTTCCTTCCTAGGGACAGTGATTTAGTAAAGTTGGAATAAGTTGCAACAGTGATGTGATAAGCATGCTACAGAGTTGATTGAGGACTACCAGCATACATGGAATAATTCTTATTAGGTAAAGAGCCTGTCTTCCGGCTCATAGAGTGCCTAGCAAGCGGGAGGCCCTGAGTTCAAACCCAGTACGGCTAAAAACCAAAAAAAAAAAAAGAAACAAAAGAGTATCTCTTCCATTTTTAATTTCCTATACTTGGTTCAAAGAGTTACACAAATTGTTTAACCTTGCAGGAACTTCCAGAACCAACTCCAGTGAAAACTAGACTACCTCCTGAAATCTTTGGTGACGCTCTGATGGTTTTGGAGTTCCTTAATGCATTTGGGGAACTTTTTGATCTTCAAGATGAATTTCCTGAGGGAGTAACCCTAGGCAAGTACTCTTAATTATCTTTTGCTGTGTTATAGTTTACCCTAAAATAGTGGCTTAAAAAAAAAAAAAAGTTATTGGGGCTAGAGTTGTAACTTAAGTGGTAGAGTGAAGCCCTAAGTTCAAATCCCAGTGTCACCAAAAGCAAAGAAACAAAACAAAAATCAACAACAACAACAATAAAAAAAAAAAAACCAAGTTACCTCTCAAAGTTCTATAGGATCACTGAACCTAACTGTCCAGTTTTGTCTTAGAGTATCCCATGTGGTTACAATGAGTCAGCCTCCACGGGAAGCAGAAACTGCCTGCCCTTTGAAAGGCATGGCTTAGAACTGGCACAGCCTTACTTGTGCCACATTGCCCTGGTCAGAGCAGTTAAAGATCCTCTAGAGCTTAAGAGTAGAAAGCAGTATGTGCATGTTGATAGACAAGTTATTGCCTGCTTTTAATTTGTAATTCTGTTTTGCCTGTGTATTTACATACTTTGTGTAAACATTTATAATAGCGTTTAGTATGAAAAAGAATTTGGATCAAATTTTGAGTTTTTAGCTGATAAATAACAAAATAATTTTATTAAGATTCATGTAGGGACCCTTGAAGTCAGAATTATATTGCCATTCCTATTTTGATAATAGCATATTTTCCAACACAGCTTTCCAATTCTTTAGTTTTTCCTTACGAGCTAAGTGACACATGAGTCATTATGCCTTACAAATAAAGAACAGCTAAATAGTGCTGATTTAGGTAAGATGAATTAGATGAGAAACATTTATTTTACATTCAAACACAATATTAGGATTAAAACCTAAAGCTGACAGTTATCTCTCCTATGCACTGTTTGGTAAGTACTACACATAGCTCTCAACAACAATAGGACAACAATTACAAATCTTCACATTGTTACTAGAATAAAATTAAACTTTAAATTTACCTACAGTTGTGCTTCACATTTAAATTAAGATGAAGTATTATTTTGGCCTCTTGAGACTATTTTGGGTTTCTTGAATGCAGTGACTATGGCTTATGATTGTATTGTAATCATAATTTTTTATTTTGGCATGGATAATGCTGGGCTCTACTTTCATTAATAGACACTTAACACAGGCTAATACTGAGTTAATGTTTATGATTCCTATGGAGTTTTTTTGTTTTGTTTTGTTTTTTTAGCAATGAACAGAACTTTAAATTTATTTTAAACATTTTATCCACAGAAGTATTAGAGGAAGCTCTTGTAGGAAATGACAGTGAAGGCCCACTATGTGAATTGCTTTTTTTCTTCCTGACTGCAATCTTCCAGGCGATAGCTGAAGAAGAAGAGGAAGTAGCCAAAGAGCAAATAACTGATGCTGACACCAAAGGTCAGAGTTCAACATTATTGCTGATTGAACCATAGTAGCTTTGTAGTGAAACTATTTTTTTTCAAAGTTATTTTAAAATAAGCCTGGCTTTTACAACTAGAAATGTAGTTCTTTAGGTTACCTGTTGCTAAATTATATTATACTAACAATATATTGCCAGTTATTTTATAAATACTTGATTTTTAATGAAACCTGTTTCTAGCACCCTTAAAAACGTTTTCCCCCAACCTGTCTTGCTTTATTTCTTTAGATTTTTCCTGATACAGGAGCATTGCAGATTTCACTGGCTAGTATCTGTAATCCCAAGAGATTCTGCTAAATAGCCACCCTATTTTTTTTGCTCCACCTAAAGAAAAATTTAAGATTCTCTCCCTGCCCCCCCCCACCCACAACCCAAGTACTGAGGTTTGTACTGAGGACTTCTCACTTGCTAGGCAGGTGTTCTACCATTTGAGCCGAGGCACACCTCAGCCTTTTTTTTTTTTTTTGCTTTAGTCGTCTCAAGTTTTTGCACACAGCCAGCCTCAGACCTTGATCCTCCTTCCTATGCCTGGAGAGTAGTTGAGATTACAGGCAGGTGGCACCACACCCACATGTTAATGCTTTAAATTAAAGATACTACTGCTGATTTCATTCCAGATGGACAGTTTTTAGACCAGAATTAATTTACATTTCACTAGTTCGAACTAGAAATTTTACTTTTTAAATTCTGTGCTCTTTACTATCTAGAGTCGGTATATTATATGTTAACATAGGAATAATTTCTTGAAGAAACCTCCCCCCTTTTTTTAAATAGTATGTTTACTGTTTTAAGATTTACTTCAATCAGAGGAAATATTTAAGCATTTATATTACAAGATTGATTTGGCTTTCTGAATAATATTCTGTGAACTTTGGCACATATTAAGATTTAAGACCAGAGATTTGATTAAACAACACTTTGGTGTATTGCATAAAAATTAACAGGAGAGTCAGGTTTGATAGCACACACTTGCAGTCCTAGCATTTAGGAGGCAGAGGCAGGAACATCTCAAGTTCAAGGCCAGCCTGGGCTACATAATAAGACCCTGTCTCATAAAAGAAAAAGAGGGCTGTGGGTGTGGCTTAAGGGGAAGAGCTCAAGGACCTGAGTTCAAAGCTCCAGTATTAAAAACAAAAGAAAACAGTAATACCTGGAGATGTCTCAGAATGTTGGTATAAAAAGATGGGTCATTACATACAGATAGTTTGTTAGCCTTAGATAATTTGAGTCATCTTTCTTTGTGCCTGGTCCCAAAGCATCAGAACATAGATGAATATGCATTTGACGTTGGCTACCTTTTGATTTTATCATGGGAGTTCAAGCAAAATAGCTTGACAGCTAATCACCAGAGGCTCCTTATTAAGGCCATTTTAACAGTATGGCTGTCATTGTCATCTCAAGTAATTTAGTCAAACAAAAACATTCATTTAACCATTGTGTTACATTAATGGCCAATAACATTATAAGGTTATTGATCAAGTTCTGATCTTAACACAAGACATAAAGCTGTATTTAATTCAGGATTTAAAGCAGATGAATTTTGTAGTTTTGGAAGTCCTGGTGGAATTTAAAAGAAGAAATAGAGTGAAAAGGAAATAAAGGAAAAAAATACATAAAACTGTTGGTGTTTGTCTTGCCATTTTATTTTCTAACATGATTTTCTTGATCTATAATTTTTATAGTTCTTTCCCTGTCTAACACTGTATAAATACGAGGCCTATCTGAATAAATACTGGCCATTAAGTAAAGGTTTTAAAGTTCCATTTGAAAATACTTATTTAAATGTTAGGAAGAAAAAAACTTAGTTTGGCATTTTTCAACGATCTCTCACTACCCAATTACTACTGGCCACATGTTACGTGGTTATTTCAGTCTCAGTAAGCTATTCCCCTAGGTATAACTTCATTTTTCCTCACATCTGTTCCTTCTGTCTTATAATAGGACAGTCTTTTCCACAGTCTTCCTGAAAGCAGTTGGATAGTCAGATGGGACTGAATTTTTTTTTCCGCCCCGCCCCCCTCCTTCTTCTTTAACTACAATTTTTCCTGCAGTTTCTAGCTAGGGAAAAAATGGGCAGAAGAGAAAATAATGAATTCTATATTAGTGATAAGAAAACTCAGATTTAATGAGGTTATTTACTGAAAATCACATAATTAGTAAGTGATGTAAGGCACTATATGTTATTTAATCCTCATACCACTTTTGTGAGGTAGATTTTTTTTTGGTGGGGGAAGGGGGGCTTACATATGAAGAACCTGAGATGTAGCTTAAGGAATCTTGGCTAATAAAGAGGTAAGGGACCTGGGTGCTGGTGGCTCAAGTCTATAATCCTAGCTACTTTTGAGGCTGAGCCCAGGCAATAGTTCATGAGACTCCATCTCCAAAATAATCAGATCAAAATGGACTGTAGGCATGGCTCAAGCAATAGAGCGCCTACTTTGGAAGTATGAAGCCCTGAGTTCAAATACCAGTTCCACCAAAAATAAAAAACAGGTAAGATGACACAAACTCAGGGAAGCTGATATAGACCTGCATAATGATTCTGTATTGCCTCAAATATGTCAACAAAGCTGAAAATTTGAATGTTTGCCTCCTTAGCGTTGCCTATAAAATCAAATGTTTTTAAAAAGATTTAATTTGCTTGGTCCTTGATCTTTCTGTTTTTATACCAAATCTTAGAAAATTGACTATCAGTTTCTAAGAATTTTTTTTTTTTTTTTGGCAGTACTGGGGTTTGAACTCAAGGCTTTGCACTTGCTAGGCAGGCACTCTACTATTTGAGCCACACCCCCAGCCCAATTTTTAAGATCTTACACTAAATATGTCAATTCCTGTCTTTAGTCTGAAGTATCACTATAGGAGCATCCTCCATATATAGAATAGTTTTGTTTATTTCCTGAGATATCATTGTTTAGTGTTGGAATTGCACATACCTAATTCTACATTAAGATGTATGGGCACCAATGGCTCATGCCTGTAATGCTAGCTACTCAGAAGGCAGAGATCAGAAGGATCATGGTTCAAAGCCAGCCCAGACAAATAGTTCAAGAGACCCTATCTCCAAAAACACATCACAAAATTAGGGCTGATGGAGTGGCTTGAGATGTAAGCCCTAAGTTCAAGTTCCAGCACCACCAAAAAAAAAGATACACATGTGCTTCACATAGTCACATTGGCACAGTTCAGCTATCAAGTGGCTACCTCTACCTCTAAGCAAATCCTAAAAGTGGTATTTAGTTTCTCAAGAGCCATGGTAGAAAACTGCATTAAAGATTTCATATCTTACCATGCTGCTTTATTTAACACAATTAAAAGTAAACTGTCATTTTGTTGGTGGTTCATTTCCTAAAGACTTTATAATCTTAGTTTTAGGAAATTACAATTTTCTATAGATAGTATAGGTTGAACGTGGTGACTCTGCCAACACACTTTTTATAGCTGTGTGTTAATTTAGACTTGACTATAACTAATTTTAGAGTGCGTAATAATTTTGTCCAGCTTTATATATAAAATGAAAATTGAGAAAGCTTTAGGTTTGGTGTTTTCCTGGTAAGGAAGAACGTTTGTCACTTGGGCTAGATTAAGCCTGATAGACATGACTGACGTGCATTAAATTAGAGAACTTCTTCCTGGTCCTGTTCATTCTTTAAGTATCAAAAAAGAGCCAATGATTGTTATGAGACATGATCCCATAGCTGCCTTTTCCTTTAGTAAAGGACAGCAGTCTGTTATTTAAGGTTAATTTTGTCAGCTTGTAAACTTTGTAAGGGAATCATATGATAGAAGGCTAAGGAATCACAGAACCAAATTAGACTAGTGACTTTCAAACTAATCCAAAGTTTGCTATGAGTTGTTCAGAGATGCAGTAGTGCCACTGTCAGAGAGTTGAAAAGATAAATGAGCATAATTCTCACCTTCCTACCCCATTTTAATAAGGGTGTCTTTTATTTCTTTTTTTAATTGGGCTTCTAAGAAACATTTCACTTTGTATTTCAAACCACAGATCTAGAAGCTCAGATTAAGTGATTTGTCTAAAAGATAGATAACTAGGCACTGGCAGAGCTAAAACTGGAATACACTGAATATCTGAAGCTCTGTACATTACTGTGATATAACAGAGGTTGTTTTGTTTTTTGTTGGTAAGTGGACGGATTTTAATAGTTACTTTAATTTTTGTATATGTATTATTGGGAATAGTTGTTTGCATTAATGCTTTAAATATATAGTACCAGTAGATTTGCAGATTTGCTCTTTAGTCCTATTTGTAAGCCAAGCATTGCTTTCAAAGCCAAAGCAATATATGTAGAAAATACAGAGAAATCTTCCTATTGTTTCTTAAATCAGAGAATTTTCAAAATAAGGAAATTTGAATAAAAAAGATAAATCACTAAGTGACAGGAGTTCTGGCTTTAGGACTTGAGGTATCTTTAAATAGATTGCAAATTTCAAAGTAGACTTTAAAGTTATATTGAAGAGAGGGATAAATGGATTTTATCATTTTTTGGAATAGGTCAGTGTATCTTGTTGGTAATTTGGAACTTGTTTTCTCTGTGCTGTGTAGGGAAATGTTAATGTGGAGTACATGTTGTAGGATTTATAGTTAGTTGTAGGTGGAGGCTAGACAGAATGTGAATAATGCTTGTACTGAGTGTTGGTTTTTTTAGGTTCCTGAATGTTAAGCTGTTTTAAAAGGGCATTCTTCCCAAATACTCAAGCTTTGACTCGAATAAAGTATTTATTCGAATAAAGTATTTATTTCCTTAAAGATTTAACAGAGGCTTTGGATGAAGATGCAGACCCCACAAAATCTGCACTGTCTGCAGTTGCATCTTTGGCAGCTGCATGGCCACAGTTACACCAGGGTATGTGTGGGTTTTATTTTTTTGTTTGGCTTTTTATTTTTAATTTATAAAGGTACATTTTACATTGCTAAGTATTTATCATCTATATTCTAAATTACTATTTCATTTTTAACAACTATAGGCTGCAGTTTGAAAAGCTTGGACCTTGATAGCTGCACTCTTTCTGAAATCCTCAGACTACACATCTTAGCTTCAGGTGCTGATGTAACATCAGCAAATGCAAAGTACAGATACCAGAAACGAGGAGGATTTGATGCTACAGATGATGCCTGTATGGAGCTTCGTTTAAGCAATCCCAGTCTAGTGAAGAAACTGTCAAGCACTTCGGTGTATGATTTGACACCAGGTAAACTTTGCAAGTTGGAGTTTTTATAATCTGCTTACTTCCTACCTTATTACATCTCTTTTGGCAGAAAACTAAGTAGCTAATGAGAAATTTTAGGTGATAAACCAGTTATAAAAGAGAATGAGAGAAAATAGTCTTTGAAGAAAAAATTATTAGAATACCGTGACCCAAATGAATATACTATTCTTGTGAACTTTAATTTTATGACTTCCTTTTTAATTTGGATTTTCTAATATTTAAAAATTTGCAGCTACGTCCTGACCTGGTGGCTTACTCCTATAGTCCCAGCTACTTGGGAGGTGAAGATAGGGAGGATCAAGGTTCAAGGCCAGCCCAGGCAAAAAATTACTGAAATCTCATCTCAACCAATAAGCCAGGTGTGGTAGTGCATGCTTCAAGTCCCAGCTGCTAGGGAGGCCCTTGGTAGGATGATCATGGTCTGAGGTTGGCCCTGGGCAAAACTCAAAACCCTACCTGAAAAATAACTAATGCAAAAAGCAAAAATAAAGAAAACTATGGTTAACATATTACATCTACTAAGTACAGAACGATAAGTGAGGATTCTAGTCCTCACTAAAATTAAAATAAAATTAAATAAAATTAGCTTTTTTATCCACTTGAGTATCAGAAATTTAAACTGCTAAATTCTGCTGTCTGCTTTAGTAAGTGTTGAGGTCTGAGAAACAGTCTGTAGGGTTATGATGAAGTTATTTTTCACTTTTTTTCTTGAGACAGGTCTCACTATGTAGCCCAGGCTGGCCTTGAATTCATGATCTTCTTGCCTCAGTCTCAAGGCCAAGTACACCATCATACCTGGCTATACTTCCTTTTTAAAATAAGAAATATTAGGACTAGAGTTGTAGCTCCCTGGCAGATCACTTGCCTAGCATGTGTGAGACCCTAGATTTGATCCTCACCACCACAAAATAAATTTTAAAATATTTTTTAAAAATAAGGGAAAAGAAGTTTTAGTGTACAAATAGAGTTTACTTTAATATACTTTACAGGACATATAATAAATGTAGTGTACCTTCATTCCAAACACTCACATAGTCTTTATAATGTATGGCAGGGTTTTTGTGCAGTCTCTTTAGAGTTGTATTTTGTCAATTTTCACTTTTTTAATTCATGTGGTTATAACTTAGTTTTGACTTAAACTTCAGTCTAGAAATTGAAATTTGAAAAATAATTTTTTGCAATTAAGAAATTTTTCATGTTCACTTAACTAGTATATAGGGTACACATTAGTATTCAGAAATGCCTCTTGTATCACATAACTATTAAATTGAATCCAAAGTTGCTCCTGAAACTTTGGGTGTGCACACCTGTAATGCCTGATTCAGGAGGCAGAGGCAGGAGGATCACAAGTTGGATGCCATTCTGGGCTATGTAGTAGCAAGGAGGAGGGGTTGAGGGTCTGGGGGCATGGTCAAGTGGTAGAGTGCTTGCCTAGCAATTGCAAGGCCCCAAGTTCAAACCCCAGTATGTATTAATAAATAAATAAATAGATAGATAGATAGATAGATAAATAAATAAATAAATAAATGCTTTGAAAAGATGCCACTGACATGTTTGATCATAAGACACTTTTCTTTATTAGACATTTTCATATTGAGCCACAAATTAAAACTTTTAAAACATAATTCCTTTTATTCACATTGATAACACAGAAGTTGTTTGCCCATTTTTGGCAGGAGAAAAAATGAAGATACTTCATGCTCTCTGTGGAAAGCTACTGACCCTAGTTTCTACTAGGGATTTTATTGAGGATTATGTTGATATATTACGACAGGCAAAGCAGGAATTCCGAGAGTTAAAAGCAGAACAACATCGAAAAGAGAGAGAAGAAGCAGCTGCAAGGTAAGAGATAATTACTATCAGTCATGCTACTGACAGCCATTTATGTGTTGAAAACTATGTTTCACATTGTGTTCTAATGTGGCATTGACTTACGCTGGATGTTGGATGGCTTTACAAAGAGATTGCCTAGTATGTGTAAGACCCTGGGTTCAATCATCAGCCCTGCAAGAAAACAAAAACACAGAAAGACTATGAATAGATTCTCACATAATTGTTTGTACTAACATTTGGAGCACTTCCTCAAATTTGATGATAGGCAAGATGGTAAGTTAGAAGTGTCTTTGTGTCAGATAGACTATAATCTATTATTTTTGACTTTCAGAATACGTAGAAGGAAGGAAGAAAAACTTAAGGAGCAAGAACAGAAAATGAAAGAGAAACAAGAAAAACTAAAGGACGATGAGCAAAGAAATTCATCTGCAGATACATCTATAGGGTATGGTTTGAATTGCACTTCTCATTTGACTTTCTTTATTCATCCTAACATACATAAAGAATAAAAATCAGGCTGGCAGAGTGGCTCAGTGGTAGAAGCACCAGGCACCAGTGGCTCACTCCTGTAATCCTAGGAGGCAGAGATCAGAAGGATCACAGGTTCAAAGCTAGCCTGGGCAAATAGTTTTCAAGACCCTATCTCAAAAAAAATCACAGAAAAGGGCTTGTAGAGTGGCTCAAGCAGTAAGAGCTCCTGCCTAGCAAGCGTGAGGCCCTGAGTTCAAACTTCGGAGTTGCCAAAAAGAAAAAAAAAAAAAGAGTAAAAATCAGATACCTTAAATTCTAAAATGCTTTCAAAATTGTAAGAGTAGTTTTCTAGAGTTACATAATAATTATGTTAGCAAGCCTATTAAGTTTATATATAGTTTGTCATCAGGTATATATATGTGTTATATAAAGTTTTTAGGTTAATATTAGGGATTGTAGAACCTATTTTCTCATAGAGTAGATGTTATAAATGGCAATTTCCCAGAAAGCTTTAATAGTTCATTTTTAACCAGTAATATTTCTTGCATAAATAGTAGTTTATTGTCCCCCTCCATGACCACCACCATCACAGCTACATTGTTTCACAGAGCTCCTCTGGGCCTTACAGAGGAACAAGGATTAGATTGGAAGTTTGGATAATGGTATAAATAAAGGACGGCATCACCTTAAGTAGTTTAGAGGTTGTGTAAGTATTTTATTACTTTTCATGACATTTGAGGTAAAGATTGGCTATGAAAACAGTCATTTCTCCAAAGAAAAAAAACAGTATGCCTGAAAAGATGCCCAATATCATTAGCTGTCAGGGAAATGCACATAAAAACCACACTACCACTTCACCCCCACTAGGATGGCTATAATCAGATAGACATCAGCTGCTGATAAGGGTGTGAAGAACTTAGAACTATTGTACATTGCTGTAGGATGGTAAAAGGGTGTAGCTCTTCTGGAAAACAGTTTGGCAGTTCAAGCCGTGAAAACTGTGTGGCTGCATATAACCACATTACAGAAGTTCTCCTTGGAATAGTCAAGACAATTAAGAGCATACATTCACCAAAAAAAAAAAAAAAAAAAAAAGGGTAAACAAAAATCCATAGCAGCATTATTCTTAACTATAAAAAGTAGTAATAACCAAATGTCCATCAGTTGGTGAATGTATAAAATTAATACATGTCTTGTGGGTTACCATCAAACAGGAGAATATTACTCAGCCATAAAAAAGAATGGAGTTCTCCCAGCTCTGAATTCAAAGTCTAGTCCCACCAAAAAACAAAACAAAAAACAAGAGACTGGAGTTCTGATGTATACTACAATGTAGACGAACTTTGAAAACATTTTGCTAAGTTAAAGTCTAGTCTTACAAGGCCAGGTATGGAATGATTCCATTTATGTGAAATGTTCAGAATAGCCCAATCTATAGAGATAGAAAGTAAATGAATATTTGCCAGGGGCAGTGAGGAAGAGGAATTGAGAAGTGGCTATTAATGGATATGGGTTTTTCTTTTGGAATGATGAAAATGTTCTAGAACATGGGGCATGGCTTAAGTGGTAGAGTACCTGCCTACCAAGTATAAGACCCTGAGTTCAACCCTTGGTACCACAAAAAAAAAAAAAAGATAGTAGTAATGATCACACAACCTTGTGAATATACTAAACGTACACTTTGAAATGGTGGTTTTTATGGTATGTATTATATATATATAAATAAAATATATAAAATCTCACACATTTTTAATGTTTTTATTTTTGGTGCTGGGGATTAAACCCAGGGCCTCTTCATGTAAAGCATATGGTTTACTACTACCATTGAGCTATAGCCCCAGCCCCTATCTCAGTTTTTTCAAAAAGAAAATTGAGTATGGTATAGATTCCATATCTTTATATTTTTTTGACTCATACAGTCTTACTCATACTTTATCTCTGTCTCCTGAATACATACATGTGAACTTGCAAAACTCCATGTTAGATGTAGAACATACATGATGGGATTTACTCCACGGTCCATGTAATTTTGGTTTTTATTTGAACAATATAATGAATTCAACATCCATATTGTATTGATTCTGCCCACTTAATATATCTGAAATTTTACTTCTCTCCTCCAATATTTGTCTCCCTATCTTCTTCCTACACTAAGCCACCATCACCTAGCCAGCCACCTTGCTTACAGTGCTTTTTTTGAGGGGGAGTGTGATACTAGGGTTTGAACTTGCTAGTCAGGTGCTCTGCCACTTGAGCCACACCCCCAGCCCTTTTTTGTGTTAGTTATTTTTCAGATAGAGCCTCAGACTTTTTGCCCAGGGCTGGCCTTGGATGAGATCCTTCCCAGTCTCTGCCTCCCTAGTAGCTGGGATGACAGATATACACCACCATGCCTGGCTTAAAATGACTTTTTTTTTTATTGTGCTTGCTAGGAAGAACTCTACCAGTTGAGCCATGCCTCCAGCCATCTTTTGCTTTAGGTAGTTTTCAAATAGGGTTTTGCATTTATGCCCAGGACTGCAATCCTCCTATGTACACTTCCCAGGTAGCCAGGATGACAAGTGCATGGCACCATGCCCACCTTTTTATTAGTTGAGATAGGATCTCCCAAATTTTTTGCCTGGGCTGGCCTTGAATTTTGATTCTCTGAATAGCCCCCTCCTTAATAGCTAGGATTGCAAATGTGAACCAGCATACCTGGCTTCAGTGACTTCTGTACTGGTCTCCCGTCAAGTAGTTTCTCACCAAGATGATTTTCCATATAGAAACCAATATGCTTTCTAATCATGTTTCTCTTTTCCACACTCTCCAGGTTTTTCCCATTCTTCTAAGCATCATTTAAAACGGACTTTTTTCTCATCTATATCTTGTATAACTACTTTCTCATTTACGTTTTCCTCAAAACTGCAAGCTGCTTCCCTTTCTCTGCAGCTCCTTGCCTTTGTCCATGTTACTCCTCTGCAAGACATGTAGATTTCCCTTCTCTTGTTCCACACTACTTCCCCATCTCTCTGGTCTTGTGGTTTAAAATGTTACTTTTTCAAGCCAGCCTTTCTTGATCCCTGAGACAAGATTTGGTTGGGATGGGTGAATGTGGCTCAATTAGAGTATGTACCTATCAAGCAGGAGGTCCTGAAATTAAAACCCAAGTACTGCCCCCCCACAACAAAAAAGAAAGAGTTTTCTCTATAAGACCATAAACTTGTGTCATATTGTTTACTACTTCCTAAACATAATGCCTGGGACCTCATAGACAGGCATTAATATTTCATAAATGGAATTACATATCCACTATTAAATGTTTTTACCTTTGTTTTTATCCTAAAGGGAGGAAGAAAGGGAAGATTTTGATACTAGCACTGAGAGCAAAGAAATAGAACAAAAGGAACTTGACCAAGATATGGTCACTGAAGATGAAGATGACCTAGGATCACATAAAAAAAGCAGAAGGGGTAATAATGAGATTTCTTAAGGTGTATTTGTGTTTATTTTTAATACAGCTATTCTGAAATATATATTAAGATAATTCCATTTGTGATTCCAGGGTGTGAGTGTGTTTGAAATGATTGCCTCATAGCTTATAATAAGTTATAAAATTGGAGCCATTTTGTTACAAAATGGTGTTGTGAAGTTGTATGAGTACATTTATGGAGTTTTTGTTTTATTTTTGTTGTTTAGAAGAAGGGTGTCATGGTGTAACCCAGGCTGGCCTTGAACTTGCAGTCCTCCTGCCTGAGCCGCCTGAGTGCTGGCTCTACCGACATGAGCGCCATGCCAGCGGATTAGTATGTTTACGATTAGGTGCTTATTCACATGCCATTTATACTTACAGACGAGGGACAGTATTCCCCTCTCTCATACATTAGCTGCTCATGACTTCACATTTTAGTTTCTGCATTTATTACTTGATATAAAACCAGATAGAAACTTTTATTCTATGATGTATTCAATCACCATGCATGCCTCCTGTGTGCTAGAGACATAAAGATCAGTAATACTCACATTGGTATTATATTACAGAGAATAAAAATCTCTGCTGTCTTAAAATTTCATAAATTGCTGAATCACAGAAAAAACTGTTTTTTTAAAGCTGTTGATACAAATTACTTCTGAGAGTTCTTAACTATCCCCTATAATATTTTTGTCTATAAAAATTTCCTAAATGGTTGCTCTGAGTAGCTAGAAAACCTCCAGTATCATGGAGGCTGTATTCTCTGATTGTAATGTAGTCAGTTTCAAAATCCAAAACTTCAGTGGTTACAGTTAAAACATCTAAGTAATGAGTCAAAAGAGAAAGCATAGTGGAAACTAGGAAATATTTAAGATTTATCAATAGTGTATATTAATGTTGATTGGATCCTGCCCCTCTACAACAGAGGAAGATTTTAGTACTTGTTTAGAAAGAAGATACAGTAAGGTGAGCATTTATTCGAGAAGTTAGAAGGGAAAATTTGGATTGTCCCCCCCAACTAAAAGGAAATAATACATAAGAGTAAGAATTAGTAGAAAATAAAAGTATAGTAGAGGAGAACAGCAAAGCCAAAAGTTTGTTCTTTAGAAATGACACAAGCTGGACAAACCTTTGTTGAAATTTATTTTTAAAAGAAGGGATGGTCACAATAAATCTAGGACTGAAAATTAGAGCAACATAACTATAGACAGTAGAAATTTAAAAATAAGGAAACAACACATACAATTTTTGGAAGTAATTTGAAAATGTAGGCAAAAATTAAAATCTTAGAAAAGTACAAATTATCAAAATGGATTTGTAAAATTAAAAAATGTGAATGGACCTAAATCACTTAAGCCACCTCAGCCTTTTATGTGTTGAGTATTTTTGACATAGGATCTCATGAACTATTTCTCCTAGCTGCCTTCAAACCACTATCCTCCTGATCTCTGCCTCCTGAATGGCTAGGATTATAGGTGTGAGCCACTGGTGCTTGTTGTTTTTGTTTTTTAGATAGGGCCTTTTTTTTTTTTTCCAGTCATTGGGGCTCAAAGTCAGGGCCTCACGCTTGCTAGGCAGGCTCTCTACTGCTTGGGCCACTCCACCAGCCCTAGATAAGGATCTTGACATGCACCATGTCAAGAATAGTCACATTGAGGGTTGGGGCTTCAAAATATGAATTTGGGATGTGGGGGAGCACAATTCAGACCATAACACGGGCCTAAAACATAGCTCAGGAAGGCCTAGAACTCACTACGCTAGCCTTGAACTTTTGATTGTCCTTTCTCTGTCTCCCAAGTGCTGGGATTATAAGCATGTGCCACTGTGCCCAGATTGCATAAGTAAGTTTCATTAAACACAGCCATACTCATTGATTTACAAATGTCATTGTTTTTGTGCCACAATGGCAGAATGGAGTAGCTGTGAGAGAGTATATGACCCACAAAGCCTAACAGTTACTAGTTCACATTCTGCAGAAATAGTTTGCTGATTCCTGCCTTGGAGGAAGAACTGGATAGCTGTTAGAGGATAACTAACATACTCTATCTACTGTGTTCTCCAATATGAAAATTTATGCATTTTGTCTGTTTCATTAGATTTAAGCTTATCAATTTCTTATTAACATAATGTATTAGTCTTCTTGGGCTGCCATAATGAAATACCACAAAAATAATGAAATACACTACTTGGCTGAAAGTCCAAGACCAAGATGTCAGCAGGATTGGTGAAACCTCTTTCTTAACTTGCAGACAGCTCCTTCTCACTGTGTCCTCACTTGGCTTTTTCTCAGTGCATGCCAGACAGCAAGACATTTGTTCTTAAGAGAAAACTAATCTTCTTCTATTAAGGCCCCACCCTATGACCTCATGTAATCTTAATTGCCTCTTTAAAGGCACTGAGTCCAAGAACAGTGACTCTGGGAGTTAGGGCCTCAATATTTGAATTTGGAGTATGGGGGAGCACATTGCAGTCCATAATACATAATAGCTTGGAGAGCCTGTGTATTTTTCTGGTGAAAATTTATAACGATAATGATACATTATCATTATAATATATTTCAATACAGGGAAAAGGGGACAAAATGGATTTAAAGAATTTACAAAGCAAGAAGAGATCAACTGTGTAATGGGAGAGTCTCTTACTGCTGAAGAAGAAGAAGCCTTAAAGCAGGAATACCAACGAAAAGAGAAAGAGCTCTTAGAAAAAATCCAAAGTGCCATAGCATGTACCAATATCTTTCCCTTGGGGCGGGACCGCATGTATAGGCGATACTGGATTTTCCCTTCTGTTCCTGGTTTGTTTATTGAAGAGGATTACTCTGGTCTCACTGAAGACATGCTTTTGCCCAGACCTTCATCATTTCAGAATAATGTACAGTCTCAAATTCCTCAGGTATCTACAAAAACTGAAGAGTCTTTGATGTCTGAATCTACCTCTAACATTGACCAAGGTCCATGTGATGATTCTGCCCAGCTGCCAAAACCAGTGCATAAGCCAAATCGGTGGTGCTTTTATAGTTCTTGTGAACAGCTAGACCAGCTTATTGAAGCTCTGAACTCTAGAGGATATAGAGAAAGTGCCTTAAAAGAAACCTTGATGCAAGAGAAAAGCAGAATATGTGCACAGCTAGCCCACTTTTCTGAAGAGAAATTTCATTTTTCAGGTAAATTTTCAATGGAAACGTAAGTTTTCTTTCTGGTCATTTAGGATTAAACATTTTACAAGATTATTAGAAAACACTACCTTTCATTTTTACCATGCTCTCAGAAGTTTGTGAGTCACAGTGTGGGGGTGTATTTCTTTATAGAAACAAAAGTTCCCTAAATTCCATTGTGTCCTATTTGAATTCTGAGGAACCATCTACAGTAGAAAAGATAGGTGTTCTTTCTGATCCCTCATTTCTTGATCAGTAGACTTTGGATACTGTGTCAGTTTTTTGTCATTGTGACAAATAGCTGAGCGAAACAACTTAAGAGAGGATTTGTTTTGGCTTATGGTTTTAGTCCACCATGGTGGGCAAGGCATGGCAGAACAGAGAACATCTCGTGCAGCCAGGAAGCAGAGAGGATGCCCTGTGCTAGGTGGCTTCCTCCACCTTCCCCCTTTTATTCTGTCTGGGCCCTAGTCTATTGGACAGTGCTGCCAACATTCAGGGACAGGGGATCTTTCCCCTCAGTTACTGTACCACATGTCAGTTCTCTCTGGACACACCCTGCCCAGACACACTCAGGTGTGCTTTATCAGTCCCCTTGGCATCTCTCAGTTCAATCAAGTTGACTATCAAGATTAGCCTTCACACACAACTTGGAAAGTGTGAAGTACTGAGTTCAAACCCCAGTACCACCAAAAAGAAAAAGACTAACCATCACATAGACCAGGGGCCCAGAATTTCATACAGATAGATCAAGGACTGAGAATTTCACACAGATGATCTAAAGACCCAGGCCTAGGAACCCATCCTATGGGCCAGTGGACCTGGGGCTGAGAATTTCTCAGTAAGCATTCCAGTTCTAAAGTGGGTGCTCTTCTCACTCTAGATACGACCTGCTTTCCAGTCTGTTGAAAGTGTACTTCTTAGCTGGGTACCAGTGGCTCACTCATGTAATCCAAGCTACTCAGGAGGCAAGATCAGGAGGATATTGATTCAAAACCAGCCTGGGCAAATAGTTCACAAGACCCTATCTTAAAAAACCCTTCACAAAAAAGGGGCTTGGTGGAAGGGGCTCAAGGTATAGGTCCTGAGTTCAAACCCCAGTACCGCAAAAAAATAAATAAATAAATAAAGTGTTCTTTCCTAATAAACCTTACTGTCACTTTCACTAAGGAAGAAAACATTAACCATCACAATGCCTGAGGCAGTTTGGGATATAATACAGTGAGTGAAGTTACTCACTAAGGCTTTTGACTGAGAGCCCAGAACAAATTTTGTTAATGATCTCTTTAGAGGTCGGCTGCAAGGGCTGGCCCATTGATGACAGATATGAGAAAGTAGTAAGGCATTTCTAGATGTGAGTTTTCAGTAAATGAGAGTCTCTGGCTAGAGAACTGCTTAAATTTAGGAGCATGTTACCATGGCTACGTGAATTTTTCTCAGGATTAAAAGCTTGAGGTCATAATTCTTTATATTCTTCAATTAAAGAAAGTTCAGTGGCTTTTAGTATGTTCACAACTATGCAACCATCACCATAGCCAATTTCAGGACATTTTCATCACCTCAGAAAAAAATCTTTGTGGGCTGGAGGTTTGGCTTAAGTGGTAGAGTACCTGCCTAGCAAGCACAAGATCCTGAGTTCAAACTCCAGCAACTATTGAAAATGGAAAAGAAAAAAAAAAGTAAAAGTAAGATCTTTGATCCATAAATTAAAAAAAAAAAGTATCTTTGCACATCTGTTGAATTGTTAAGAGAACAAAGTTCCTTTTAACAATGTGTGATCTGCCATGCTAGATAAAATAATATTGGAGTCACAAACTGTGACAGTGTCTAAGTTTTGGCTCCTTTATGAGCTTCTCACTTTAAGAATAAAACTAAAAGACAATGTTTTTGGCAGTACTGGGCTTTAAACTCAGGGCCTCAACTTGCTAGGCAGGTGCTCTATCCCTTGAGCCATACTGCAGACCCTAAAAAAAAGTCTTTATACTTTTTAGCTACCACTCCCCTATACTCCTTCCTCCTGACCCCCCACCCCACCAAACCTTCAGCATCCACAAATCTTTCGCTTTAAATTTCTTGTTCATGACATTTCTTATGAATGGAATCATATGGTCTTTTTGTCATTGGGTTTGCTTTTTTGTGTGTGTGTGTGTATTAGAGTTTGAAATCAGTGACTTGTGCTTGCTAGGCAGGCACTCTTACCAATTGAGGCACTCTACCAGCTCTTTTTTTGGGGTTTTTTTTTTTCTTTTTTTTTTGAGATGGGGGTCTCATGAATTATTTACCCTGAGCTGGCTTTGAACTTTGATCCCCCAATCTCTGCCTCCTGAGTAACTAGGATTATAGGATTACAGGCATGAGCTCATCATCATGATAAGCCTGGCTTGCTTCAATTATTTTTCAGATAAAGAATCGAGATTTTTGCCTGGGTTGACTTCAGACAGACAATCTTACTTAGCTGAGATTACTTACTTCGCTGAGATTACTTACTTCTGCTTAGCCACCATACCCACCTTGTTCTTTGAGATAAAATCTCCCTAACTTTTTTGCCAGGCCTGCCTCAAACTGCAGTCCTCCTATCTCCAGTGAGCCACCACACTTAGCCCTGTGATTGACATTTTAGTGTAATGTCTCTTAAGGTTCATCCAAGATGTGGCATGTGTCAGAACTTCATTTCCTTTTATGGCCAAATAATCTTCCATTATACATATACACTACATTTTATTTATCCATTTGTTACTTGGTAAACATTTGGTTTATTTTCACCTTTTGGCCATTCTGAAGAATACTGCTATAAGCATCCACATATAAGTTTTTGTGTTGACATAGATTTTCATTTGTCTAAAGGCTATATCTAGGAGCAGAATTACTGTGTCATTAACTGCTTAAGTCCTTGAAGATCTGCCAGATTGTTTCTCAAAGTAGCTATACTGTTTTGCTTTCCCACCCACAGTACATGAGGGTTTTCATTTTCCCATTTCTTTGCAAGGACTTAAAAGTATCTGACTTTTTATTTACTTAAAAAAATTTTTTTTATTATCGTATTGTTGAACTGGGGGATACATTGAAACATTTACAAAAGTTCTTACAATATAATTGAATTTACCCCCTCCATCATTCTCCTTTATCTCCCCTTCCCGCCATTCCTGGAACAATTTCAACAGATCTCATTTTTCCATCTTCATACATGAATGCATAAGGTTTCCACTACATTTACCCTCTTACACCCTTTCCTTACATCCTCCCCCCTCCCACTGGTGCCAACCCCCAGACAGGACTTGTTTTACCTTCCTGGCCTCCGTTTTTGAACTGGCTTTTTATTATAGCCATCCTAAAGGGTATGAAGTGGTTCCTCACTGAATTTTTTTTCCTTTTCTATCTTTCCTTAATAATTAATGGTGGTGAGCATCTTTGCATGTGCTTATTGCCATTTGTGTATCTTCCTTAAAGAAATGTCTGTTCAGATCCTTTGCCCACTTTTTAAGTGGGGTATTTGTCTTCTTGTGGAATTATAAGAGGTTTTCTTTTATATATATTCTGAGTTCAAGGCCCTTTATCAGATTTATGATTTGCAAATTTTATTTACTGTTTAAGTTATTTTTGGCCCTTGTGAATTTACAAAATACTTCTAAATGCATTATCATAATCATAAGAGTCACATGGAGTAACCATCTTTAATGAGAAAATCATGATGGAGGTATTTGATTATTTCAGAAAAACCTCAAATGGATAATAAACCTCCATGCACTCGGGGAAGGTCTTCCTGTACACATGATCCATCTCAGATGTCTGCAGAAAGGCAACTGGAACTGAGACTCAGAGACTTTCTTTTGGATATTGAAGACAGAATCTATCAAGGAACATTAGGAGCAGTCAAGGTTTGCACCTGTTCTCATTTTTAGTTTAGTTCATTTGCTTGGTCCACAATCTTGGTCATATTTCTCAATTATTTGGTATGTGCAAAATGTATGTTTTGAACAAAAAGGAATGGTATACTTTTTTATGAAAACTTAAGTTTATTCCCTTATGTATGGGTATACTTAAAAATGCTATATGACCATCTGCTTCCTAAACAGTTTAATGAATCCAATTGACCTTTTACTATTAATTTTGTGTTTTTAAAATGTTTTGTGATATTTTCATCAGATGTTGAAATGTGTAAGGATATCTTCTTCCTTGACTAGCTGCTGCCTTCTTCTACTGAGTCTGGTTTGTTTGTTGGTCTTTTTTTTTTTGTTGTTACCTTTTTTGAATATGTGTCCTTGATATGTGTTCTTGACAACCTAGGCTGGCCTGTAACTCATTTATTTTCCTGCCTCAGCCTTCTCCCCACTGCTGGGATCACAGGCATGCGCCACCACTTGCAGCTGATATATGTTTTCTATTCAAATGATGGCCTTTGCCATCATTTGTCACTTTTTGCCACCATCAAGTGGTCAATCATAAAAATCACTCGATTTTTTTCAAATAGACAATCGGGTATTATAGTTGCCATTATGTGATATGGATCCTGTTTTGACCACTTAGTAACCTTAGGTTTAGACCCTTGTTGATTGATAATCTGTTCTAGAATATCCATGGATTACTGTTATTTACATTGAACTTCATACCTGTCAGGAGCAGCATCTCCATTTTCCAGGGTTAGTACATTTGGATTTCATTACAGGTTACAGATAGACACATCTGGAGATCAGCCTTAGAAAGTGGACGCTATGAGCTGTTAAGTGAGGAAAACAAGGAAAATGGAGTCATTAAAACTGTGAATGAAGATGAAGAAGAGATGGAGATTGACACACAAGCGAGGGTCATAGTAAAAGACAGGTACAGAAAGAATTTCTCTAAAGTAACCAACTTTTCCTTGCCACTTAAGGTTTGGTTTTTTTAAGTAAATATGCTTATTTTGCTTCTTTTAAAAACTTATGAGGTGGCCTGGGCATGTAGCTCAATGGTAGTGTGTTTGTTTAGCGTGCATGAAGCTCTGGGTTTGATCCCATAACCACAAAAAACTTATGAGAATGGATCTTAGTTTCTAAACCTCAGGATCTTGGTTACTTCAATTTGTACTAATACCACCAAAAGGCAACTCATCACAATAGAGTTATTTTGATAAATATATACTCGGTATATACTCTTTTTAAGTATATTTATTCTGTTCATCACCTAGAAGGGAATGATGGAGAGACATCTGAAACTAGCAGTACAGAGCAAAGTAGGGTTCTGCTAGAAGGCAAATTTCTGGTGTATGTGTAGTACTCAGATGGCCTACTTGTCATGGTGGAATATGTAAGACATTGAAGGAAGTTCTAGAGGAAGTGTGCTGACTGCACAGCTGAGCCTGAAGGAAGGAAAGATCCTGTACAAAGGGTTGGAGTGAATGGGTTTGCACTTGTATGTGATCATTTTATCTGTACTGGAGATTTATTGCTGAGGGAGTACAACTGGAGGCTAATGAACTAGTTAGGAGGTCATTATAAATTCCTCACCGGGGGCTGGAGATGTGGCTCAAGTGGTAAGAGTGCCTGCCTAGCAAGCACAAAGCCCTGAGTTCAAACCCCAGTCACACCAAAACAAAAAAACCCTACTATTAGGTGTTCAAAACCCAATAAAGTCTGAGTTCAAGTCCCAGTACTGCCAAAAAAAAAAAAATGCAAAACCCAATAAAAGACAAAAAAATGAAAAATAAACTAATAAATTCCTCACCAAGTAGCTGAAGCAAAAGAAAGAGATAAATGGCCCAAGATACATAGGCTTTAAGGTCCAACACCATCACTTCCGAAAAACCTTTCTCATAAGCTTTGTGTTTTCTACCTTCTCTCCTTCAAATGCTTGCCCTTCTGTCCTCCTAAATGAATCTCGGCTCCCATTAGCTCACAACAACCACCTTATGTTGACAAACCTATTTCTAACACAGGTGTCAATAAGCCTCTGAAGGAAATGGGTAAATTCAAGTTTTACATAACAGTGTTTTTCAGTACTATTAA